AAAAACTACAGAAAAAAGGAGGAATGGAAGAAGGAGTGGGATGGAGGGATGTAGAAGGGGAGAGAGGGAAGTATGATTCTCTGCTTAGAACTATACCTGTGAAATACATGAAATCTTTTCATTTAGATCACAATACACAGTTTGAATTATAAAGGTTAAAATTTGATGTAACGCCAGCGCCGAAGGTCACTAGGCTAATCCTCCGCCTGTGTCACTGGCACACCGGGTTCTAGTCCCGGTTGGGGTGCCACATTCTGTCCCAGTTGCTCCTCTTCCAGTCCAGCTCTCTGCTGTGGCCCAGCAAGGCAGTGGATGATGGCCCAAGTGCTTGGGCCCTGCACCTGCATGGGAGACCAGGAGGAAGCACTTGGCTCCTGGCTTTGGATTGGCGCAGTGCCTCAGCTGTAGTGGCCGGTTATAGTGGCCGGCTATAGCGGCCATTTGGGGGGTGAAACAATGAAAAAGGAAGACGTTTCTCTCTGTCTCTCTTTCTCTCACTGTCTGGCTCTGCCTGTCAAAAAATAATAATAATAAAATAAAATTCAATGTATCAATGCTTTGTTCATTTTTAATTAGTGCTTTAGTACTTTCATTCAAATTCCCAAATATTCCTAAGCAATTTTTTTTGTATCTTAGAATTCTGTTGTATTAATGTTCTTTTTTCATTTGAAAAATATTCATTTAATTTCTGTTCTATGTTGGTTATTGTATTAATGTGTTGTGTCCCTAAAGACACTTACCTCAATGACCAAACAATATGTTAGAAAAACTAGTATTCCTACTATTACTCTGTAATCAGTTACCATAATGGACACTAGGAAGTCTGTCCTATATTATTCCAGTTTAGCAAACAAACTTGAGACCATGCTTTTACCTCCAAATTAACTTTCTCAAAAAAAAATTATTTCACAGCAATTTGGTACATTTAACTTTTTTAAAAAAAGCATTCATTCTTCACCATCTAAAGTTCTAGAAGAATGCTATTTATTTTATTCAAGGTTATTTTTCTTATTTTTATACTTGAGAGAAAATAATGGGCAGTAAAATGAATCCTGCTTGGTGAATGAAAAACTGTTTTGCTGGTTTGTTTTCTCTCCTAGAAATTAAATTTTTTAAGAAAATTTTAAGAATATGAAAGTTTGCCTGGAGGCAAGTTTTCCCAGAAAGAGTGTGTATGCTAAGACTAAATATCAGAGAGTAGATTTTAAATATTTTGACTGTATACATAAAAAAAAATAAGGATGTGAAGTGATAGATTTATTGGTTTCATCATATAATCATTCCACAATGTAAACATGTATCAAAATACTGTATTTTCTCCCATAAATAGATATAATTATTATTCATCAATTAAATATTAAAAAAAGAAAAAAGAGCATCCAGCAAGTGCCTCCAAATGTTATTACATGACAATTTTTGTAGGCAAAAGTTATAAAATCAGAAACCACAATGCCATATAAACTGAACAGTCCCTTATTTAAAACAAAAAAGAAACAATGTGAACTCTTAAGAGGGGCCAGGAGCTGTTTTGGTTTTTATTTTGTTTTTGGATATAACCTGCAAACAATATCTCCAACTTCCTTCAAGTTATGCACCATTCTTGCTAACAATTCAACAACCAGCTCCATAGAATAGATAGATAGATATAGACATAGATATAGATATTGATATAGATATAGATATAGATAGATATAGTATAGATATCTTTCACAATAACAGTGATTACTGAGAAGGGCTAGGTGTGGATACAGAGCTCAGGAATTGCTACAGTTTAAGAAATTGAAGCAATTTGGGTATTATCTATACAGTGATTTTCCAAGGAAGTTTTGACTAATATAGTCAAGGAACCTAGAGTAAACTTATTGAAAACAAAGTATGTGATTGCTTCAAAAGTTCATGGAAAATGGAATTTAAAGATAAATTTATTTCGCTGGAAAAGTTTTTTAAATCCATGCATTTTTATGATAATAGAAAATTTTTACAGATTTTTTGATGGTCATTCATACAAGAGTAGGCCCAGCAAATCAAACTGGTATGTGAATGCATTCAGTTATTTTTAATGCAGATAGTCTTCATGCTTAATTTTGCTAGTGGTCATTTTTATTTTTCAAAAACTTTACTTAAGAAGCAGAGACAGAAATAGGCAGGTAGACAGAAACAGTTCTCACCCACAGGATCACTACCAAATGATGGGACTGGGCTAAGACTAAAGGTGGGAGCTGATAACTCAGTCCAACTCTCTCACATGAATGGCAGGGGCCCAACCACGTGAGCCATCACTTCTGTCTCCTAGGGTGTACATTAGCAGGAAACTGGAGTCAGAAAGGAAGATAGGTATCAAGACCAGTCACTCTGATATGTGATGCAGACATCCCAAATGCCAGCCTAAATACTAAGCCAAGCAGCTCTCCCATCAGGATGCCTTTCCAAAATAAACACCTTTTAGGGATCCAGAATATCATTTTAGAGGTAAGAATCTAAAAGGCCAATCAAATAAAGTAAGCTTTTAAGGACACAGTAGACTTTGATATGTTCAATAGTTTAAAATTGTTCTGATTGAGCATAATCAACTTCAAATTTGAAAGCTCGTTGTTGGGTACATGGACCTTTTTACAGTATTATTTGTGTCTTACATATTATAACAAATATTATTTTGTATCAACTAAAATGTAGCATACAACAGAATATTAACAATCAAAAAGAATGGAGGGGCCGGAGCCATGGTGCAGTGGGTTAATCCTCTGCCTGTGGTGTTGGAATCCTATATGGGTGCCAGTTCTAGTCTTGGCTACTCCTCTTCCAATCCAGCTCTCTGCTGTGGCCTGGGAAAGCAGTAGAAGATGACCCAAGTCTTTGGGCCCCTGCACCTACATGGGAGACCAGGAAGAAGCACCTGGCTCCTGGCTTCGGATCAGCACAGCTCCGGCCCTTGTGGCCATTTGGGGAGTGAACCAACAGAAGGAAAACCTTTTTCTCTGTCTCTGTCTCTCCCTCTCACTGTCTGTAACTCTACCTCTCAAATAAATAAATAAATAAAAATCTTCAAAAAAAAAAAAAGAATGGAATTGACATTTGCAACAAAATGAAGGGACTTGAAAATCATTGTGTTAATTGACATAAGTCAGACATAGGAAGAAAAATGCCACATATTTTTTTCATATGTGGAACTTAAAAATCTATCTATTTATCTATATATCTGTCTAGATAGTAAATACAAATCTAAAATAGTGCTTATTAGAGGCAGTGAATGGTGGAAGAATCGAGGGGATGTAATAAGTACAAAAGACATTCAGGTGTAGGTGCTGGGTTCTAGAGTTCCACAGAAGATTAGGATAACTCTAATCTTTTTTTTTTTTTTTAAAGATTTATTTATTTATTAGAAAGGCAGATTTACAGAGAGGCAGAGAGAGACACACAGAGAGAGAGAATGTTTTCCAACCAATGGTTCACTCCCCAAATGGCTGCAACGGCTGCAACTTAGCTGATCTGAAGCCAGGAGCTTCTTTCAGGTCTCCCACGTGGGTGCAGAGGCCCAAACACTTGGGCCCTCTTCTACTGCTCTCCCAGGCCATAGCAGAGAGCTGGATCAGAAGTGGAGCAGCCAGGACTCAAACTGGTGCCCATATGGGACGCCAACACTGCAGGCAGCAGCTTTACTCACTATGCCATAGTGCCAGCCCCGGTAACTGTAATCTGAGATAAAGCTACTAGAAGGGCTAGTTGCATGTTATAATTGGTTTACATTGTATATATCTGCTGAAATATTTCATTATACCACTGCAAACTACAAAAAGATGCTTCATAGTAATTAAAAATTTATTAGAGGAATTAATTAAAATTAAATTAAATTAAATGCATTTTCTGGCCAGTGCCGCGGCTCAATAGGCTAATCCTCCGCCTGCAGCGTCAGCACCCCGGGTTTTAGTCCCGGTCAGGGTGCCAGATTCTGTCCTGGTTGCTCCTCTTCTGTCCAGCTCTCTGCTATGGCTCGGGAGTGCAGTGGAGGATGGTCTAAGTGCTTGTGCCCTGCACCCGCATGGGAGACCAGGAGAAGCACTTGGCTCCTGGCTTCAGTTCAGCACAGTGCGCTGGCCACAGCGGCCATTTGGGGGGTGTGAAACAATGGAAAAGGAAGACCTCTCTCTCTCTCTCTCTCTCTCTCACTGTCCACTCTACCTGTAAAAAAAAAAAAAGATAAAAAAATGCATTTTCTTTGCCATAGTTTTAGTCCTTCAATAATAAATGTCAAACAGAAACACATTCATTGGAATAATTGTTGTAACTAGTTATTATTTAAAATCAAGGCTTAAAAGTACTAGTTTACAGAATCATATAAAAAGCAAAATAACACAAAAGCCACTGGAAACAAATAAAAAGTAAGACACTTAAAAGTATACAGTGTTCCTATCCATCTTATTGTTCTATATCCTAAGCACTTAAAACAATTTCCAGGACATGGAGACAGACAGTGAATTCACTTGTAATTTAGGTAAAGTTTATTGTATCAACACATTCTTGAATCAAAGCACTAATTCAGGGGCCAGCATTGTGGCATAGCAGGCAGCAGCCTAAGCCTCCCCCTGTGACAATGCCATCCAATGTAGGTGCGGATTCCTGTCCCAGATACTCCACATCCAATCCAGTTCCCTGAAAAAGTGACTGGGAAAACAACAGAAGATGGCCCAATTGCTCGGGCCACTGCTACTCATGTGAGAGACACAGAGGCTTCTGTTTCCTGGCCCAGCACTGGCCTTTGTGGCCATTTGGGTATTGAAGCATCAGATGGAAGATTCTCTCTCTTTCTCTTTCTCTCTCCCTCTTTCTCTCTCTCTCTCCTCCCCTATTCAAGTAACTCTGTGCCTTTCAAATAAATAAATAAATCTTAAAAAAACACTCTAATTAAGGAACAATAAAACCAACATTGAAATTAAATAATTAAGACATGTTTGTTATGTCAATTATACATATTTAATAAAAGCTATTTTAAAGTACAGGTTACACATGGTTACAACAGATATTACTAAATATTAATAGGTGAAACCCTGATTCAATGGAAAGATACTGGGTTCTAGAATATTGGATGGCTACCTCCTTTTGGAAAATGAGTCCACAAATTATATTTTCTCTACCCTGAGAAAAGCATTCATATTACTGAAGCATATGGGCAAGAGAACAGATATTGTAACAACATGAGAATGTGTAAGTTTTTAGTAGAAGGCAGGGAAGCCATAGCCTCCATAAAATGATGGGCAACAGTAGCCATATCTGAAGCTTCCACAGCCAGAGCCATTTCCATAACCTCCATAGCCACAGCTTGGGCCACTGAAGCCTCCATAGCCGTAGCCTCCATAGTAGCTGCCATAGTAGCTCATGGTATCAAGGGTGGTGAGTTGGTTTGATACCAAAGATGATTTTCCTGAATGTCCATGTCTCTGGCTTCCCAGAATGTTTTTCTACTCTTAGTGGGTGTGGTTAACATGACAGATGATCTCATTTCCATATAACAGAATAATTTAAAGTCTATAAATTCTTTTAAATTGTTTTTCTTACTTACCAAAGGGTCCAAGCTCTTAGTAAAGGACTTTTAGTTATAATTATTATTTTTAATGAGTTTGCATACCTAGGAACAAAATGCTTCCAAGATGAAAAATGATTATAGCCTCTTCAAAGGCCATGCTAGTGTTCTAATTAAATGGTCTAATCTGGTTGATAGCTTCTAGTAGCCCTGTAATTATATAACCTCAGATTGCCTTTCTTTTTATTTGCATTGCATTGTCTTTGATACTGATCATTCCCAGAACCCAAGGTCTTTTCCCCATGGTGGTCAGGGCATAGTCACAAACTCATTAGTGATTTCCGGATAGTCAAATGTAGAGGAAATTTTGTTTTTTTTTTACTCATGTAAACTTTTCTATGAGAAATATTTGATTAACTATCTCTGTCAATTACCTTTTAGACTTCCACTCAGTTCCTGTTTTATTACATTTACTCAAAAGTATTCCCTTTCTTCCGTATTCAAGAATACTTATAGGACATTGCCATCTACTTCTACCTCACCCTAATGTAGACAGCCTTTCAGAGTGTAGATGAATGCCTAGGACAAAATATTATAAAATACTAATGATTAACATAAAATACTAATTCATTTGTCTTCATTACCCATTATATTATTTTAATCCTTGAAAATGAAAATGCTTACTATGGTCACATTTTATAACTTTTGGGGTTGAAATAGAGTAAGTAGCATATTTTTGGTTGAATTAATAAGTGCATAGTCCCATAAAAATAACAAGTAAGTTCTGTGCAATCTCTGTCTTATGCATCTTATGAGATTTCATTCTTCTGCTAATAACTTTGCTTATACCCAGAAAGGCTTTTTTTGTTTGGTTGTACTTATAGCTTCAGGGTCTAAATAGCGAAAGCAAAGAATAATTCTGGAATTTCATTTCTGTTAATAGTTGAAATCTTTGACTTCTTGAATTGCAGCTGATAAAGGAACTACATTAGTCTGAATCTCCCAACACATTACCTAACAAATAGGCAGACAAATAGACAGAAAATTGTAAACCACAGAAATTCTATGCTTTCAACATAACTATAAGATAGAGGGAACTGCAAACTTCAAATTAAAAAAATAGACAAATATGAATTTCTAGTGGTGCTATTTCTTGATAAAACAAGAATAGTGAAACAGAATGCCAAAAATTGACGAGCAATTTTCTCAGAAGAGAAAAACTTCTCATGAAGTAAGTTTCTCCCAAAAGGAAAAAAAAAAAAAACACACTTGAAAAAGATAACATGGTGGAAGAGATGACACCACAAAGCAGTGCTTAAAAGGTGCAGAAATAGACTACTAATCCATTTTTTGAGACACTGACTATGAAACAAAAGCAACATGAGAAGAAAAGAGGAAACCATTTGAAAACTTCACAGTGAAGAAAACAAAGTGTGAGCAGAGAATGTAGGGTCTTCATGGAAGAGAAGAAACAAGGGACAAACTACTAACTCCCTACCAGGTAAAGCTGCAGCAGTTGAGTAACGTGCCTGATACTCTGAATCAAGAGTCCATGCCTGATCTAGGACTATCACAGGAACATCAGACTCTACCCACAAATCCAGAGGTGCAAGGTTTTGTCTATATGAAGGACTATAATAAAAATAAAATGACTAACAAACCATTTGGGGATGGCTCCTCTACCAAAAACAGAGAGGAGGAGGAGGAGCTGGAGAAAAAAAAAAAGGAGGAGGAAGAAAAAGAAGGAAAAGGAGAAGGAGAAGAAGAAGAGGAGGAGGAAGTGGCAGAGAAGAAGAGGAAGAAGAAGAAAAAGAAGAAGATAGCAAAATATTTTAACAAAATATTATTCATTGAATTAAATATTATCAACAAAAATTGCAGACATATTTTAAGTGTCATAAACCAAAAACTCAGACTAGAAAATCAAAATTTTCAGCTGGCACCATGGCTCACTTGGCTAATCCTCCGCCTGTGGCACCGGCACCCCGGGTTCTAGTCCTATTTGGGGCACCGGGTGCTAGTCCCAGTTGCTCCTTTTCCTGTCCAGCTCTCTGCTGTGGCCCGGGAGGGCAGTAGAGGATGGCCCAAGTGCTTGGGTCCCTGCACCAACATGAGAGACCGGGAGGAGGTACCCAGCTCCTGGCTTCGGATCAGCCCAGCGCTGGCCGTGGTGGCCATTTGGGGAGTGAACCAACAGAAGGAAGACCTTTCTCTCTGTCTCTCTCTCTCACTGTCTAACTCTGCCTGGCAAAAACAACAACAAAAAAAATCGTAATTTTCAAGTCATCATAAAGATGAAATGGTTTGAAAAAATTGGGAAATAACTAGAATGGTAAAATCAAATTGGTATGAAGACCAAATTCCAAGATGCTAAAAAGAAAACGAGTCAAGTTAAAATCTATTATACATCAGTAAACAATAGCAGTAAAACAATAAAAAGAAAAAGATATGTGGGTAAGAAAAAAATAGGGACCCAGCATTGTGATGTAGCAGGTGAGCTGTGCCTGAGACACTGGCATCCCATATGGGCCGGTTCGGCTGTTCCACTTCTAATCTAGCTCCCTGCTAATGCTCCTGGAAAAGCAGCAGAGGATGGCCCAAATGCTTGAATCCCTGCACTCACATGGGAGACTGGGAAGAAGCTCCTGGCCCCTGGCTTTTGGGTTTGGCCTGGCCCAGCCCCTGCCATTGCTGCCATTTAGGAAGTGAACAAGCAGATGAGAGATACTGCTCTCTCTATATATATAAAAGTCTGCCTTTCAAATAAATAAAATAAACATTTAAAAACATGAATCAGAGACTGTAGGTAAATGGAACACTGATGAAAATCCAGCTTATGTGTCAGAGGAGTTTGTGGCATAGGGAAAAATTGAATGATATCCAAAATTGTAATCGAGGAAGTCTCTAAAACTAAAAGGAAGTTCTCAGTGGACACACTGCTGGAGCCATTCATGACCTGAGAAAACTGACCCATACTGAACACCTGTAGGACAGTAGTTGGAAGTTCTTCAGCTATGTAGTGGTAAGAGCTGCACAACAATGCAACTGCACTTAATGCCACTAACCCACATTCTCAAACATGGCTATAATTTCATGCTATAATACTTTACCACTATACAGAAAGGCAATTTAAAGATACAGAAGAAAATTTTCAGGATATCTAAGAAAAGATCAAATAGTTAAAACAACAAAGCTTAGACCCTTTTCAGATTTCTCAATGTATACACACTAATACATTTATTATGTAACATTCTAAAAAACATTCAAGGATGCAAATTGTGAACCAAGAATTTTATCCAAATTATCTGAGAAAATGTTTCCTTCTTGATCAATCATCTAAGGATTTAACAGAGATAACTGAGGAAGCATTGGCAAAGGACACTGAGAATTCCATGTGTTTAATTTTTGACTAAGGCTAATGCAAAGATGAGTGAAAGAGTAATATGTAAACATTATATAGTAAGGCAGAATAAAAATAATTCAACAAAAAGTGAAAGAAAAGAGAATGAAAGGTATAAAATATAGTTTAATGAAATGATAGCTAATTTTTTCAATTAAAACTGACAATTATGTTAGTAAAAGTTTAAATAGGAAAATAACATACTAAGGGCATTTCTGCAAAAAAATACATAAAAAACTTCTGGGTAACCACAAAATATCTATAAAAATCTTTCTAGGTTCTGATACCTAGATACCTAGAAGTTTATAAATTATTAAATAAAGAAAATTTAATATATAAATTAAGAAACAAAAATATAACAATGTACAAACAACTCTAACAAAAACATTTTTGACAAATGACACCAGACATAACAAATCAGTAACTGTGAACAAGCTTAATTCATCTATTAAAATAGAGCATTTGCTAACTGCATTCACCAAGAAAAAAATCACTATGTTCAACAAGAAGCATTTAAAATTGTGATTAAGAAAATCCAAAACTAAAATTGTATGTTAATTCCGTATATCACTATACTAACATATTAGAATGAATAAAATTCCAAAACTCTTGGTGGGCGTAGTGACACAGCAGATTAAGCCACCACTTGAGAAAACCACATATAGTCTTGGAGTCTGGGTTGTTCCACATTTGGCCCAGCTTCCAGTTAATGCAACCTAGGAAACAGAATATTTCTCTTTCTCTTTCTCCTCCCCCCCTTCCCTACCTTTCAAGTAAATGAAAATAAGCAAACATTTAACAAAATTCCAAAAACTGACAATGCCAGTTACTAGCAATTATGCAAGGAAATAAGAATTCTCATTCATTGCTGGTAGAAATGAAACTTAAGTGGTACAGTCATATTGGAAGTTATAATGACAGTTTCTTAAAAAGCTAAACATATTATTACCATATGATGCAGCAGTTGTACTTCATGATATTTACCCAACAGATTTAAAATTTCCTACTCAAAAACCTGCATTTGAATATTTATAGAATCTTTATCCATAATTTCCAACATCTAGAGACAATGTTCTCCAACAGGTGCATGTAGAAACACACTGCAGTACTTCCATACACTGTATTTCATAATTAAGATAATTGATCTATCAATATGAAAAGATATAAATAGATCTTAAATGCATGTTACTAAGTGAAAAGTGCCTTGTGGAAATACTATACACTGCATGAGTCCAATGCATATTTTGAAAAAAAAAAAACAAAATTGCTGTAGTCAATACAATTAAAATATGTAAGACATATGACTTTCAACTGTATGGGGTATGGATTAAGAGGCTGACACTTCTTTGAGAAGAAACAGAGATGGAAGGAAACACCCACACACAAAAGCCACAGTCACATTAGTTTCAATGACTATTCAGCCCAAACTGTGAAAAAATAGCTTTATGGAACAGAAATTCTTCCTAAGAATTCAAAATGAATAAGGCCTCT